TGGCCAATTCCTGTCTAAGCCTCTGGTTGTGTTCTGGGTAATCAAGGCTGTTCTGTTAGGGAGGCGGATGTTTTCTGGACCCCCTAGAGCCAGAAAGCGTTTGCTACCCGCAATCCCAGCTCCCTGCAATCTGCCTGCCCCCGAGGCCCTGTGAGAACCCAGTCCTGATAGCCTGTTGCCTGCTGCCTAAGAAGTTTCCTAGTTGTCACCAAGTCTTCACCCCCCATCAAACAACAAAAGTAAAAATAGGCTCGCCTCACAGAGCACGTTGGCCATTCCCAGTGGGCCTTGCTACCTGGCGGCCTTGGACAGGAAACCATGGATTGGAGAACTCCTGGTCTCCTTTGTTGTATCAGCGCCTATTTTTGTCCTGAGGGAGGAAGCGCAATGGGTGGGGAGGCCAGAGAAGTAGTAGAGGGGCTCTCCTAGGTAAGCACGCCTCCTTGAGAGCTGAGGCAGCATCTTAGGCCAGTCGGGATTTGAAAGAGGCCATTGGAAAATGTTCTGATTAAAAAAAAGTAAAAATCATATCTTTTCCTCTTTCAAAGGTGTCAGTAGGGGTCTCTCCCTCTCAATCTCTCTCTTTTTCCATTTTTAGTGTCTTCAGCAGTTGAACAAAAAAAGATATTCATTTTCTTGTTCTTGCTTATTAAGGAAATGGCACTCACCCCTAACTCGCTGTACGTGACTACAGTCACCTAGAATGAGAAAACGGCTTTCCAGGGCCTCTTCCTTCTCAGCGTCACCCCTAAACAAAGGGCACCAGAGGAGTCGGGCTGCCTGAATTCTAATCCCCCAGATGCATCGATAAGCCTGTGATTTGGGGCAACGGATTTAATCTCAGTTCTGTCGTCTGTAAAATAATAATAGAACCTATACTTTCCAGGGCAGTTATGTGAATTCAGAGACGATATGCAGACTTGTAGCTCAGACAGTGCTGGATTCACGCGAGCCTCCGTGAAGGAGGCCCAGGTTCTGGACTGGGGTATGGGTACCGCGTCCCTCTGGGACAGGAACACGCCAGGGTTCATTCAGTCATTCACCCAATATTTAATAAGCCCCATACGTGCCCATGTGGAGCTTTACATTCCAGTGGGAGAACGCAGACCCACAAAATAAAGCATATGCATGATGAGCACTATGGAGAATAAAGTGAGGAGATCAGGAGAGGGTGTGCGGATGGGGTGTTCAAAGGGCCTTGCTGAGAAAGTGCCATCTGGGGGCCGGCCGAGTGGCACATTGGTTAAGAGTTGGCTTGGGATGCCAGCTCTGAGCAGCAGGGCCCTGGTTCGGATCCCACATGAGGGCCAGTGACGCTGCGCCCTCTACAGCTAAGATGGTGAACAACAGCTCAACCTGGAGCTGGGCTGCCGTGAGTTGCTGGCAAATGCATAGGCTGCAGTGGGCTGCCGTGAGCTACTGTGAGTGGCCGGCAGCCGGCGTGAGCTGCCGTGAGCCGCCATGAGCGGCCATCCAATGGCTGGCGAGTGACTGCCTCACCCAGGAAGAGTGCAATGATAATATCAACATGGGCCAGTGAAGCAGTGTCCTCCACAACTAGTCTGAAGAACAAAAGGACAGCAACTTGTCTGTCCCCCTTCCTTGATTCCCCAACGCTGTTCCCCTCCCTCAATTCCCCAATAAAATCTTAAAAAAAAAAAAAAAGAAAAAGGAAGTGCCATCTGACTAGAGCAACCTCATCCAGGAAAGGACATTGTTAACAACAGCATGTGCCCCACAGGAATGGTGTGAGGCTAAGCAAGGTAAGAAAAAAAAAAAGTGCCGTCACAGCTCCTGGAGCATGCAAAGCATTCAGAGGGTTTGCAGGGTTACTGTTGGTGCAGCAGTCATTGTTGGATGCTCGGTAAGGAAGCATTATGAGTCCCATGTCCTGGTCCATTGGAAAGGTAGTGGCCCCCGCATTTTAACTCAGTCCATCATGGCTAAGACAATGCTTGGTCCCCAGAACCATGCTTGATCTATACTGGTGGGCTCAGTGGATGAAGTCAGATTGTACCTCCCTGTGGGACCAAGAAGTGACATGAAGCAGCGCTTTGGGGAAAAGGTCGGGGCCTGGGGGAGCAAGGTGGAACTTAATTTTCACTTTGTTCCTCGGCATCTCAGGATGTTAATAATCATTTGCCTGTGAGTTGGCATATCCTGGAAGTTTCCAGAACACTTGGCAACAGAGCTGGCATAGCTCTAGGGAACAATAAAGTCACTCCTTCCCATCTGGCGGGCTGGGAACTGGGCTACAGCGGCTTCCATCCAGCGTGGGATGGCCCCTTCCCACCAACCTGGATTTCCAAGCCGCAACGGTGCCACCTGCTGGAGGAACAAGGCGGTTCCTGCATCTGCCACCTTTTTTTCCCTCCGAGCACTCAGTGGAGGGAGGGAAGCACGGTCATCCTTCTGCCCACGGTGATTTTCATTCTGAAAACTCATTTGTTCCTCAGATTTCTCGGGTGTGTGTGGGGGGAGGGGTTCTCACCCTGTCATTATCTGGGGGCAAAGCAGGGGAATGGGGAGCTTAACCCCAAGTCCCTTCCTTTAGCTGGTCTCTTGTCCTCTCTGGGTCCTGTGTGAAGACAGTGCCTTGTAAACACTCTCATGAGGCCAGAAGCCCCACATTTTCCCCCAAGTCTTCCGGGCCCCTCCGTGGAGAGTGCCTTGGGCACATCCATGAGGCCAGAGATCTCACTTGGCTCAGTCATGTTCCTTGCTCAGTGTGTGTGCTGTGCCGACCTCACAATGGGGGACAGTATATACGTTATATACGGCTAACCTGGCTCAGTCACCAGGGATCAGAGCAACGGACCTGACCAGGTCACAGTGAGCTCATAATTAACTGCAGCCAGACATAGAATTTAGTTTCAAAGTTTCCTAATAGGAAGGCAAAAGGGGAAGTAAGTGGGGTTACACAGTTCCTACTGTCACACAACAGACAGCAGACATAATGTTTGGCTGTCAAAGAATTAAAAAAAAAAAAAGATCAAAATATGTCCTTTTAGAAAGCTGTGGGTAAGATACAGGATAATTCAACAACAATGTCTTTTAACTGGGGTTTTGTATAATACGCACGAGCAGCCAGGGCTGTGTGGGGAATCGGGAGGCAGTAGCTCTGCAGGGCTCCCGAGGCTGGGTGGCCCCCTGTAGTCTGGTAACCCGAGGACACACTGAGGAGAAATTGCTCAAGTTACCACACCTCAGGGGGAAGACCCCGGGGGTAGTGTCCGGGCCAGAGGTGAGGTGAGGGATGTGCAAGGGGGGGCCAGGACCTATTCGGATTCGATTCTCTTGCCGGCACACTGAACTTAGTGAACCATAACCTGGCCTGGGTTATGGAGCTCCGTCGTCCTCCCTCAGCACAGCCGGCCAGTGCCTGTCCTTCCAGAGGGAGAAGCCAACACTTTGTGACTCCCAAGTCCCACACTGGTGGGTGATCCTCTGCAGGCCCAAGCGAAGCCGTCTGGTATGGGGAATGCTGCAAGCACCCCTCACTCTGTGGGCAAGTACCCTCCTTGCCTGTGCAGCTGATAGAGGCTTAAGGGGTGTGCCCTCCTGGGAGCTGCCACGTGTTCCCAGGGGTCTCAGGAGTGTGTGTGTGGGGGGGCGACTTTCAGGAGGAATGCCAGGCCTTTGCACAGCAGGGGACACTTTGGCCAAACAGGTGCTTCCCTACACCTGTGTGGCTATCTCCTTCACCACTTCACATCCTCTCCCTTATTCTGGGGAGGAATGGCCTGAGTGTTGGCCCGGGTCATTTTTTTGGAAAATCTGCATGTTGAACACCAGTGAGGAAGCAAGGACACCACTTTTAGCTGATGGGGACAAGGGACTTCCCACTGCAAACACAACTGTGGCGCCTCCAGAGCGGTGCACTGGTGCCCTCTAGTGGGGGAACATCACAGTGCAGCAGTCTGTTCATAGGGCCTTTGCAGCAGCTGCACCTGACCTTGGGGATGGCACTCGGAGCAGGATTACAAATTATGGGGCTGTCATCACTGTGGCAGGCCAGCCAACACCCTTCCACCCCACACGCAGTTTACAATAGAGATGCCAAAAGTGCAGACAGGACCCTCAGGACTCCATTATAAGCGCAGTTGTGTGTCTCAGCTTCTGCCCTGCTGTATAGTTTCACTGCTGGAATCCTAACTGATACTCTGCCACCTCCACCACCACCCTCTGAATCCATGTCATAACACTCAAAGCTTCCAGCTGCCCACCCCGGAGCAGAGCTCTTGGGGAGCAGTGCTAGCCTCAGCTCACCTGAGACTTCTGAGAGTTTGTAGACACTAAAATCTGTCTTCTGGCTATCACCTACCCTAGCTCATCTGATCTTCTCCCTCGGTTCCCATTTCGGGGGAGCAGACCTTGGGGATAGTCACCATCAATGGCATCAGCCCTTACTAACCAACTACATGCCTTTATGAGAATCGTGCCAGGCAGATGACAGCACCTACTATCTGCCCTGCCCCCAGTCCCTGGCAACTCCAGGGGCCTGAGCCCCAGCAGCCCCAGTGATAGGGGTCCCTGAGAAATAGAACTGCATGAGAATAACCCCTGGGATTCATTGCCCGCTGTGAAAAACCAACCAGGTGGGGTCATCAGCAATAGAGGGTGCTTGGCTTTGGCTGGAGGTGGGGTTTACACAGGCACCCAGGTGTCAGACTCTGACCTCTGACAGAGGTGCTCCACCTCGGACCACTCACTGTGACATGTGCCCCATGTGTGAATCCCAGTGAGAGATAAACTAGAGCGCCCCGGAGATCTACAATAGGCATTAAGTCTTGGGGCCTCTGGGGCCCTTTGCACACACATCACAGTGGGACACTCTGGACCACGGCAGGTAGCCACCCCTGCCCACATACCAGTGTAGTACATCCAGTTATGCCGTGTTGGAGCTATGGGGCCAGCGGGAGTGCTTAGGCTCTGCCCAGGCCCAGGATCAGGACCTGGGGGGATGTGGGAGGATGTGGACACTCGGCCCCTGCACCTACCTGCCAGGTTGGGAGAACCTTCTCGATGTCATTCAGGTTGATCCCATCCCCATCTTCCAGCTTCCCTTTCCCACACCTGGATCAGAAAAAGACATAAAGGCATTAAAAAGATGGTGAATCCATGTATCCTGTCCCGGCCTGGCAAGCAGGAAGAGCAGGGATGATCAGGTGACACCAGGTCCTTCCCTCCCTCAAGGCCTGCGCAATCAGCCTGAACCACCCAGAGGAAATGGCCCTGGAGATCCCTGGAGATGAGACCTCCGCTCTCAGGCCTGGCAGCACAGGCCTTTCCCGAGGACGAAGGATTCATGCAGACAGTAATGCTGAGGCCAGATGCGGGTAGGGGGAGGGAGGCACAAAAGTACCAAGTTCCCCTTGACCCTTTCAGGCAAAGACGCTAAACTCCTTGCTGATGAAAACCCCAAAACTTGTCCCAGCTTCTGCAAAAGCCCATCATCTTGCCCATTACACTAAAGGGAAACTGAATGAACAGAGAGACCAAGCAACTTTCTCAAGGTCACACAGGCCCCCCACGGGGCTTCCTCCCTCCTTGACCTGACTTTCGGCCAGTCCAGCAAGCCTGCTCAGGTACTGATGCTCTGTCTTCACGTCCTCTGTGGACAGGCACACCTTCAGGCCAGAGACACGGGCTCTGATTCACTGCCAGCGGCCTGTGTCTCCTGCATATTTAAGGTGCAGACTGGAAGCAGACTGCCGGGGTTGGAATCCCAGCTGCATCCCTTACTAACTGGGTGACCTTGCACAAGTCACAAACCTCTCTATACCTTGGCTTCCTCATTGGAAAAATGGGGACAATTAATAGTACCTAACATCATAAAGTGAATGGAGGATTAACGTATTGAAGTGCTTTGAACCTTGTCAGGCGCGCGCGCGCGCACGCACACACACACACACACACACACACACACACACCCATATTGAGTAATACCATATTTAATGGTAACTATAGATAATAATTAAATAAAATTATAATAAAAAATACGGTAAAAATGTCTCTACGACGTGTACTGCCTCTACCTCTACTATTACTGCTGTTATTATTACTGGAGAAGCAGCAGCATAGCCATGAAGAGCGTATGTCCTAGAGCCAACCCAGCCTCATGCAAGTTACTCATTTTGGGGGGTTTCCTAGTTGTCTCATCTGTCGAAGTGAAGAGGATGATAGCCCCTACCTCCTCCCTAGGTTGTGGTGAGTTTTAAATACTGTGAAGCAAGCACTTAGAACAGGGATAGACACGTGCCCTGTGCAGAGTAAATATTAGTGACTGCTCCTATTATGTTGTTATTATTGACCCAGGTATGGTGAGGGCTGCTCAGGGGGCAGGCGGCAGCGTTTCCCAGCTGCAGAGTTAATGCAACTTTCACATTTCAGAGTAATTAGTTTATTTGTTCAATATCTGCCAAGCCTCTCTTGTGTTTTGGGCCCTATCAACCTCCCTTGGAGTCAAGGAAAATCAATGCAACGTGGTTCCTTCTCTCCAACAGCTCATCGCTCTTGGGAAACAAGTCCTGATCGCATCTAAACAGGGCAGTGCGCCTGAGCACCAGTAGGGGGCAGCATGAGATAAGAGTCACCAACGTTCTATGGGCAGAGTAGCCCTGGAACCCCAAGGAAGAGAAACCTGCAGAAATGAGCAAAGGCTTAGGTGGAAGAGGGCAGCGGGATATGGTCTACACCCTCATTTCACAAGTGCTTTTGTGTGGGTTCCGCCTCCGGCTGGGCCCCAGTGTAAACAATGCACAGGCTGGGCCCTCGGTGGTGGCGATGTTGTGTCAGGGATAAGAGGGGGTGCTATAGGCACCCAGACGAGCAGCTTCCAGAGCAGTCTGGGCAGAGGGAGGGAGATGGGTCAGGGGCTGGCCGAGCAGAGAATCTGGGAGAAGGTCCCAGGTAGAGAACAGCAGCACAAAGGCTTGGAGCTAACAAGCGTGTGGCCAGCAGGGATGCCTGCATTCATGTGACTGCAGTGGGGTGGGAACAGGGGTGCAAGGAGGTGGGAAAAGGGGTAAGAGGACCCTGGAGGGCCAGGGCAGAAAAGACAGCTTGGGGGCCTGGCAGGTGGAGCTGGGGTGGGAAGGGTGTAAGGAGGGAAAAGAGGCGCGTTCTTGCCCCTCTCCACTCCTTCTCCGGCCTCCTGATGTGCTGGGCTACAGATGAGAAAGTTCTGGAAACATCCAACCACCTTTTAACTAACAAATCTGCCTGGTAAAGACAGGCTGGCCTGTGAAGGCACCAACTACTCGCAGTCACCTGTTTCGTAAGTGCCGTGGCAGTCGGGGAGGAGGGACCCAGGGACTCGGCCTACTGCAATGGCTGACACCACCTCCCCAGGTCACGTGTATGTCTAACACACCTCTGGCTCCAAACACATGCCGGACACCAGCCTAGCACAGCACAGCCGCAGCCTTTCATTCTCACCTCAGCAGCCCCCATGGTGGGCAGCGGGTGCTGCGTTCCCCTGGGCCCCAGGCCTGCCCTGCCTGGGGCTTACAACCCCCTGGAGGACTGCAGGTTCAGGGGGCAGCAGGTTGATACAGACCAGCTGCGTCACTGCTGCCAACAGGGTTTCCAAGGCAACAGCCTTTTCTGATTTCTGTCCCTCCATGGATACACAGGCTGCAGGAATCCTTGGCAACTGAGTGCAACCAAGTGGTACCCTGCTTCTGAGAGATGCAGTAGTGGCTGGGCACATGGAGTCCTGTACCCCATAAGGCAGGACTCTAAAGGTGACACAGTTCCTGGGCCACAGGAAGCTGCACCTGGCCTCCCCCAGAACCCGGATGAGACAGAACTTGGTCAGAGCCGGGTGTCTATGGGGAGACCCCGGGTGACTGTCAGCAAGTCCTGCAGGCTCCCTGACTCGGTGAGCCTGGCCCGTAGCTGGTGAGCAGGTATGGCCGGTCCCTCAGCACAAGGGGAAGGAACCTCTCCTTCCCTGGATAATATTCTATTGCTGTGGCTAACTAGTATTTTGTTATGAAGTTAATTTGTGTGAACTGGTGCAGACGCACGCCTGGGAGAGCCTGACGTCAACATGCATCCCCCGTCAAACACCTTCAGTCCTTCTGTCCTCTGGGCCTCAGTTTCCCCACTGGTTTCACTCTCCATGTGCTCCCAGCGGACACAGGGGAGATGGGGAGCTTCCCAGGCAGTTCATCCTCCAACAGTGCTCTCCTCTCTAACCCCCTTTGCATCTACTTTCTTTAACTACGTGCCTGGCAGCTTATTTCATAGTGAGGGCTCTCTAAATGTCTACACCGCAACACCGAGTCTTTTAGTTGCCTACAGTCTCAATCATGACTTGCATTCTTATCTCCTTTTATAGAAAACAGTCTTGCTGGGCAGGAACTATGTTTTATCAAGTGTGTGTGCATGTGTGTGTATGTGTGTCTTCCTCACAATCCCCAGCACCACGCAGGGACCCAGTAGGCCTAGTGAGTGGGCTTCAGAAGCGAAAAACGCCCCTCCATTCACATGACACACCCCCAAGCTCAAAAGCTCCCACGAAAGGGCAGATGGGATGCACACCTCTGCTGAAAGCCTGCTCCTGAACTTGACCTGCGATCCTAAACTCAGCAGCACGGTGTGTGTGTGTGGTGGTGGTGGTGGGGGCACAGCCCTGTGCAGCGCATCGGCTCAGGAGGAAATGGCCTCACTGCTGCTGAATGAGGGCTTGAGCGTCCAGTGAGCAGGTGGACGGCGTGAGGCAGGGCCAGGGGAGCCCTGAAGCTGGGCCTCTGCTTTGCTCTGTCTCCTTCTAACAGGGTGCCTCCGTGCTCAAGTCCGTCTCCCCTCTCCACCCAAAGAAAAACAACCCCAAGGGTTCTGATGGAACCCACTTAGGCAGGACGATGGAAAAAGGAAGAGTGGTAAGAGGCTGGGGTCCCCTGGGAGAGTCTGATGTGAGTGACGCGCCTCTCCCCAGAAAAAATACAGCACACATACGCAATACAGTTTTAAGGGGGTTAAGCTGGTTCAAGGGCACGCTGGTGTGATGACCTGGGCACTGGATGGCAACAGAAGACGTTAAGTCATGGCTCTGCAACTTGGGCAAGCTACTTTGCCTTGCGAGCCTCATTCTCCTCTTCTCTAAAACAGGGATGAGAACATCGCCCTTCCCGGGTTGTTGCTCATTACACTACGGCCCGACTAGGAGAAGGCGTGGGGTGGGACAGAAAGTGGCAGCAGGGGGCCAGGGGAGATGCAGGGAAGTAGCAATAATATCAGTGACGGTTAGGCCTGAAGTGACAGGGAGACAAGACTGGGCAGGGGAGGGTTGGACGGAAAAAAAGGAAAGCCATGAGTATAATTTAAAAAAGAAAAAAAGCAGAAAATAACACGTGCTGACGAGGACGCAGAGACATCAGAGCCCCTGTACACTGCCGGGAATGCAAAATTTTCAGCTGTTCTGGAAAACAGTTTGGCAGTTCCTCAAAACGTTAAAACATAAAACTACCATGTGTGACACTGTGATTTACAATGAGCTATATTTGGGTCTTTGTCCCCAGTCCTGGCACAGGGCTCCTAAAATCCTTGGTATTTCCTCTGTGATGAGATCGACCACGGTGTCTTTTGTTATGTTAATGAGGCGACTTTTGGCAAGTCCCTAGGTAACCTGAGGATGGGGCTGGTTGCCAGGGGAATCAAGGGAGAGACGGGAGGGTTAGAACTTTCCGTCCCATCCCCTGACCTGCGGGGAGGGAAGACGGGCAGGAGATTGAATGGCCAAGGGTTGAATGGATCATTCTGTGATGACGCCTCCATAAAAACCAAAGAGGGCAGGGGTCTTGAAAAGGGGACGGCGGCACTGGTCCACGAAGTAAGTAGAGGGTGAGGCAGCCCAGTGTAACATCAGCCACTAGCACACACCGGTGGTGCTCAAAGTGGGGTCCCTAGGAAGCTGTTAGAAATGCACATTCTCGGGCCCCCCCCAGGCCTCCTGAATCAGAGACTCTGGGGGGGTGGACCCAGCGATCTGTACCCCATAGGTGGCTCTGATCAAGTGTGAGACACACTGCACTGGGCCACTGACCAGCAGGGCCACACTGAGTGAAGCAGGCCGTGTAGCTGGAGGGGTCTGGGCAGTGAAGGGTGGAGGGACTCAGGACAGAGGCCAGTGAGCCTGCAGATCTGAGGCGATGAGCCATCTGTGTGTCCCTCGTGCAGCAGGAATGCCTTCCTGCCCAGGGAAAGGCCCCTCTCAGCTCTGACACAGCCGGAGCTGTTGTCCACCCCATCCTACCCCTATGTGAGAGCCCTCCCCCCAGACGCCCCTTACCCTTCACGGTCGATGTGTGGCAGGGGCTGCTTGGGCGTGTGTCGGAGCTTGCGGTGGAACTGGGTGAAGTCCAGCTTTTCGGGCTGCAGGTCCCAGGTGGCACCACTAGAGGGCGAGAGAGGGCAAAAAATGAGAGGCAAAGGGGAGACCGGCTCCATTACGGATGGGGCGGGCCCAGACACCTGGCCACAGCCAGGCAGGGAAGCATCCTTCCAAAGAGGCAGGCGGGAAAGGGGAGGGCACCCACCAGGCAAGGACAGGGTCAGGTAGGGACCCCTCACTCAGACTGGAAGGTGTCAGCTCTGGGGAAGGCCTGAGAAGCCATCACCTCTCCTCACCCCTGCTGTACGGTAACTCATGCTTGTAAAACACAAGTGTGGGCCTGCTGCCTACGCCACAGCAGCCACTCTAAAACACTTAAGAGTTTGTTTTCACACCCACATTTGAGAAAGCCCGGAGAGTGAAAGGAGGCCAAAAACCTGTCACTACAGCCTCTGACAAAAGCTCAAAATGGCAACAAGGCAGCTCTGAGGGACATGGGGCGAGTCAGTGGGGGAGCAGGGGGCCGGGTCCCGCCAGCTCCAGCCCCAGGAGACCCACGGCGCTTCCACGCCGAGCGAGCCTGAACCCGAGCCAGGGGTGTGTCCAGGGTGCACTAAGGGGTGGCCAGCTCTAGGGCCAACACTCCCCAGAGGTGTGGACATCATGGCAGGAGCCCAGGAGCAAAGTCTTCAGGCGCACTGTCCCTACACTCTGAGGAACGCTGGACTATACCTGTTCTTCCAACCGGGCCCATCAGGAACCTTCCAGAGGCTGAGCCACTGACAGCTTCCTTCCTCCAGACCTCCATGCAGCCAGCTCACCCACGATCACCTCCGGTGGCAGTGGTGGGGTCTGCAGCCACAGGTGTCTGGAGGCCCCGGGAGTCTGCTATCCATCCTCTCGCTCTTAACCCAGACGCCTGGCATCCCAGTGGGCCGTCCTCCTTTGCTCTCCCACCGCCCCAGTCCTCTCGCTGCTTTCTCTCCGGCTCCCGTGAGAGGGCGGGACTGTCAGCTCTGACTTCTCTTTCCTCTCAGCCTTCTTTTTCCTCTGCTTCCTCTTCCCTGCTCTTTCTCTCTTTCCCTTGGAGCCCCCTTCCTGTCTACTTCACCCGCCTCTAGATTGTCTCCACTTCTTGATCAGTGAACTCTTAACATTTACTCAGCCCCCAAAGACCCCATGGAGCATAAGGACAAGTAAGGTGGGGTCCCAGCCGGAGCCACACGCCACAGACAAGAGGAAGTGGGGCTTACCTGAAGGAATCAAAGGTGTTGGCAGCCCAGATGTCTGTGCCCAGCATGTCCAGAGAGTTATCTTTGCTGCCATTCTGCAAGAGATTAGGGAGGGAAAGGGGGCATTACTTGCTCTGCCTGGATACTGAGAACAAGTGGGTGGAGGGCCTCCCCAGGGCCCCGTCCTGGAGAGGGCTGCAGAGGCCCTCCCTGTCCCCCTCGGTGGGTCATCCTGGGCAGCTAAAAGGCTGGAGCGAGCGTCCTGGCTGGTGCAGCCAGTAAGAGTCAGGAGGACTCTGAGGTGCACCCCCGGCCTCCTCCTGGGCATGGCTCTCTCCTCAGAGCCTCCACACGGATGAGCTGCCACCACCATTGCCAGCCTGATGACCGTGGCTTTTCCCCAGGCAGGGGCCCTGCAGATCCAGGCACACTGGAGGGTCTAGGTGGGGGGAGTCGACTGTCCCACTTCCCGAAATCAGGTAGCACCAAGAAGCCCCCATTGACCAAGTTCACATCAGCGACCCAATTTCTTTAAATCAACCGGCTCCAGTCTTCATCCTTGGATGTTTCCTTCATGATCCATCCCATAGACAGAAAGCACTTTCCTTGATCCACCTTCCATGATTTGACTTCTCTGCCATCTCTGCCTTCACTGCTGATGCCACCCATCCCTCGTTAACCCTACAGTCTGCAATCCATCATCTCACTCTTTAAAAACAATGCCTCTACCTCCACTAAAGCTGAACGTGTGCATTTGTGTGACCCAGGACTGCGCTCCCAGGTATAAACACAACCGAAATGTGCACAGATGTTCGCCAACAGTACACAGCACAGACGTGCAGAGCAGCTCCAAGCTGGAAACCACCCAAGTGCCACCAACAGTTGACCAAATAAATCGTAGTATGTTCACATAATGCAATATTACACAGCAGTGAGAATAAACAAAACACCATGCAAATGACATACACAGATCCCACAAAAATAGAGTGAAACTAAAGAATCCATGGTACATTCATGACCCCAAGTAAATTTGAAGCTCTTCGACTGCTATCTCCTGTTATGCCCCCACAGTGGCTAAGCTAGGCACACAGTAGGTCCACCTCAGATGCCTGCCAACTGATTAAACAGACTCTACCCTGTAAGTGGAAGAGGCGCAGGCCTGCAGTCTCTGTCTGAAAGATTGATTCACGAGTTAGGGTGTCAAGATCACTTTACTGTCCTAGAACTCGAGGCCCAAGGATTGGAGGAGGATGGTTGGAGAGAGAACAAATGTGAAAAAGGGATGAGGGTCAGAGTGAAACCCAGGAGTGCAAAGCATCTCACAGGTAAGTCACCTTGAAGGCAGCTCAAGGGGCAGGGCATATACATCTGTCCCCTAGGCTGGTCACTCTCAGCCCCTGTGCAGTGGGGTTGACTTGGAGAGAGCTGGCAGGGACGTCCAAGCTTGGAAGAGGGGACGTTACCCTCAGGCTGAGGGAGGCACCTGGGGCATCTCAAACTCAGGCCCAGCATCTTCTGAAGCAGCATCCTGGCAGGGAACCTGCCAACCTCGGGACCTCTTGGGATCCAGGGAAAAGGGCCCTGGCTGATGAGTGGGAAAGAGCGACAGAACAGAAGTTGGAGGAGGCGCAGAAATGGAGGAGACGCCCCTGGCATTTGCATGCAGGTATTTATACTTTCCAAAGGGAGGCCACCTCTCTGTGCATAGAAAGAACAGCCCGTGATGTGCTGTTAACCATCTGCCATCTGAGGTGAGAAAGCGAAGTTCCAGGAGGGAGGGCTCAAGGCCCAGCTGGTGAGTGACAGAGCGAGCAGGCCAATCAGTGCAGTCCAGAGCCACCTCACCAGGCAGCTAGGCACGTTTATTTATTGTTTTTATTTATTTATTTTTTTAAAGATTTAAAAAAATTTTTTTTATTGGGGAATTGGGGGATGGGAACAGCGCTGGGGAATTGGGGGAAGGGGAACAGACAAGTTGCTGTCATTTTGTTCTTCAGTCTAGTTGTGGAGGACGTGGCTTCACTGGCCCATGTTGGTATTATCATTGCGCTCTTCCTGGGCGAGGCAGATCAGTCGCCGGCTTCTGGATGGCCGCTCACTGCGGCTGCTGGCTGCTCACACTGGCTGCTGGCTATACATGGTAGCCCATGGCAACCCACTGCAGCCTATGCCGTCACTGGCGACTCACAGCTCCAGGTTGAGTTGTTGTTCAGCATCTTAGCTGTAGAGGGCAGTGTCACTGGCCCTCATATGTGGGATCCAAACCGGGGCCCTCTGGCATCCCAAGCCAGCTCTTAACCAATGCGCCACTCGGCCAGCCCACGTTTATTTTTTTTTAATGCTTCATAGTTCTAGACTCTTTCCACCCATTTTTCTTACTGAACCCTCACAACACTCATCCATTCTATGACCCAGAGGGCATATCCTGGAACAGCTGTAGATATCCTGAATTCCTATTTTAAATGCCAGGAAACTCAGAGATCTCTCTGTCATTCCCAGGAAACACCCTGCTCCTCAACCGTCCCCTCTCCATCCCAGTGAGCGCCAGCGTTCTCTGTCACCCGGGCCAGAGGCCTCCGCAAAGGTTCTCTCCGTTTCCACGGGTTAGGTCTTGTCAAGCGGACCTACCTCTGGCCTCCATTCCCACTCCGACGGTGATTCTCACAAGTGCCAGGGTATGAGTCCTTTACAGGCCAAGGAGTGAGAGTCCCATCTTTGCATAGCCCCGGGGTGTCCTGGGGGCCCAGCTCCAGGAAAGAATGCAGATGGCACCCCTGGAGAAGGTGACAGCCCTGGGCAGGAATGAGGACCCGGGACTGTGAGCAAGACTTGCCTATTCTGCTGGGCATAATAGGAAGGTAACCCCCATTCAGGCTGGTGTCCTGACAGGAGCGAGGGCGATCTCAGAAGTTCCTAACGGAAACCTTGGTCACAGGGGGTGACCTGTTCATTGTGGCTCCATCCGACAGCCCGTCACAAGAATCTGGGCATTCCCTCAGAGTGACGGGCATATCATCGACGCATCCAACCTTTATCAGCAGGGGCTGGAGACGTCGCCTGGAGCTTGGGAACAAAAACCTCTCTCCGTCAAGTCTCAGCGCAGACAGGGGAGAACCTCACGGGCACAGCCTCCCTTTGTTGTCCCTTGTCAGTGCTGAGATGGTGGCCCAGGCAGTGCCCGGAGGGGGCAGGCCTCATTCTGCAGGGTGACTGACTGCTGCAGCTAAATGGGACAGCCAGAACCTGAGGGCTTCACACGGCCACTCCCGCACCCACTAGCCTTGGGCTGACGGCATCCGAGCAGACCACAGGCTATCCTGTGCCCTGTCGCTTCAGATCCAGTCTGGACACCAACCCTCAAAGCTTGCATCATACACACACACACACACACACACACACACACACACACACACACACACACCACCCGTTCCACAAGCCCTCTTAGTGTCCAGAGAAAGCACAGGGGCACGAGTTTGCAGACAGGCAGATTCACAGACAGGCAGACTGCAACTGATTTCCGGAACTCAAACTAGGAGCCAGACTCTCCTCGCCATCCAAACCACCCCGACGCCTGCTCACACTGAGGACCCATGCAGAGGCGAGGACAAGCTAAGGACAGAGAAGAAGGCGACCAGGGCCTGGCTTGTTCCCAGGCACCCCCTGCCTCCTCAGGCCTTCTGCTTGGGGCTGCAGAGGCCATGGCTTCCTCCTGGGAGCACTGGCAATACTGCGTTAGTGAGCGGCTCACACACCAGCCTGGCTGTGAAGGGGCTCCAGGGCCACACACAGCTGCCAAAGGTATATCGTCTATTCTTGGGCGACTGTGGTCTTCCTGGTCTCAGGGAAAACAAATAAGTGCTCTTTCCACCCTCCCTTCCCCCAGGCTTTCTTTCTGTTGGGATCCAGCTAAAGGCCCTTCGTCCCTGCAGTTCTGCAGTTTCTCCCCGACGCAAGTGCCCCACGAATGCATAGCACGTACAGCACGTATCCTGGTGCTTGGTCCCTTCCTGACTGGTCTATGGCAGAGCTCCCCGTGGTGTTCTAGCATCACGGATCCGCGGGCTCTCACATGTCAATGTGCATCAAAATCACCTGTGGAGGGGAGTGTTGATGGTTTAAATTGAGTGCAGCTGGAGTGGTCCAAGGAACGTGCTTTTGAAAACACTGGATGTTCAAGAGTTTCATGTGAAAAAAAAAAAAGTTCCTAAAGGCTCCCTAGTCAAGTGTTTGGGACACGCTGGATTAAAAGGTTGTTAAATAAATTACTTTATTGCAGAACTTCTCAGTGCCTTTATTGATCTTAAGATGGGTGCTGACTCTTCAAGTAAGTGGCAGTATAATAGGCAGATTTCCCCAAACTCCTTTGGCCAGAAATCCACCTCATCCTTCCTTTTTATTCCACAGAGCGCTTTGCAGGACTAGGGCTCCACACTAGGACTAGGTCTGTTTCCTTTAGGAAAACAGCCATCTAATGCTCTCTGTTAGCTCCCTTCCCCAATTAGTCTGTCATCTCGTTGAAAGAGGAAACCCTTGCTTCGCTTCTTTGTCTTATCTCCCTGCCCACTCACTCCCCATCCTAGCCTTGGGACCCAGCACCATCCATGAAATACTATTTAGCAAGGACCCAGTGGCCAGGCACTGAGAGCTCTCCATCTAACCTCCCTGGCTTTTCCAAGAACATTCTCCAGTCTGCAATTCCCTGGTTGGCCCTGGTGACCACGGCTGGTCTCTGAGCCCCACCCCTCCTGGGCCCTGTGGTCGCCCAGGCTCTGCCTCTCTAGGTTGCTGCAGCACCAAGGTTTTTGAGAAGCCTTATCAGAAACAATCACCCTTTTCACTGGATCGTTTTTAGCACTTAAACGCTGCTGAATCCTTCACAACGGCCCCTTTTACTGGCAATTAGGGGGGCCCCATGCCAGGGTGAACCTTGCTGCGCTCAGAACAGATCACAAAGGGATAATGAGCACTTTAAACCATGGGGAAGAAGAAATGGAAACAGCCTGCCCATAGGCAGGGAGACTGAAGCCGCCTCTGAGAGGCACCGCTGGGAGCACAGCTACCCTCAGCTCAGGGAAAGACAGATTCCAGGTGGTGG